TCTGAATTTGGCTCTCCTGGCTGGCTTTGAATTTCCAACTGATCAACAAGAGGAAACCAGCTGAATAAACATCGTGTCATCATTTCAGCACTATTGGATTTCCATAGACGTTGTCCTTGGCCATTCCCCGACATCACTCGAGAATGTTTACGGATCTCATCCTTATCAGAACTCTTACAGTGCCCTCGAGAGCATCCATAGACATTGCTCACCGCTCTCGTTGTCTCCCCCCTCTGCGGAATGTCTACGTCACTGTGTGCTTGTTTGTGCGAGGTGTTTTTTAATATTAGAGTTTTTCTTCTCAGCCAAGAAGAAAGAGTCTGATAGGAATTGTTTCGCCTCCAATTCCTACGTGTCCTATTTCACTGCTTTTTGTTTTTCTGAACAGATCTCACTTGTAAATGAGTCTTCTAGGCTCAGTGTGACTTATCTGTCTAAGTAAAGGTTGAATGAATGAATTAGCTAACATGTTCCTGCTTGGCATTTTGCTAGCTTTTCAGCAAATCATCTGTTTTCAGCTACATTTGTAACTGTTCAATTTAAACAAGCAGTGACAGTTCAGCAAGTGAAGATTCACAGCTTTATTTTTTAGCTTCTTCAGAAGCTTTCATCAATAAGCATTCATCAATAAGCATTCATCAATAAGCATTCACACTACATTTTCACAGGGAATGCTAATTTTATATGTTGGAAAGACATGGAAGTCCAAATACTGTAATTCCACTTTTTTATTTTTACTTTTTGTTTGCATCTTCCCATAGGTGTAAAGATGGAGTGAATACAAACACTTCTAACACTTGTTGTTTTTTTTACAAACTGTACCCAGAAAATGGTTTAGAATCCAAAGGTGCAGTATTACTAAAAGTGTTTTTCTTGTGGGCGGCACAGTGGAGCAGTTGGTAGAGCTGTTGCCTCTCAGCAAGAAGGTCATCGGATCAAATCCTGGTTGAGGGGCCTTTTTGGGTGGAGTTTGCATGTTCTCTCCATGCATGCGTGGGTTTTCTCTGGGTGCTCCGGTTTCCTCCCACAGACCAGAGAGTGAATGGTTGTTTGTCTCGTTTGTCTCTATGTGTCCCTGTGATGGACTGGAGACCTGTCCAGGGTCCCCGCCTTTCGCACAGTGACTGCTGGATAGGGGCACCAGTGACCTCTGTGACCAAACAGGAAGAAGCTGGTAAAGATAATGGATGGATGGATGTTTTTCTTGTCTATAGTGGTATCAAACCTTTTACTCTGTGATTGTTATAATCATCAGAGAGCACAAGAACGTTTTCACTGCTTTTATTTGTGCGGATCTGTTACAGTTTGTGCGCTGTAGGAGTTCCCCCCCTGTCTAAGCAGCATGATGAGGTCATTGTTTTGGGTTTAAATCCAACGTGGACTTAATCTGGGAGATAAGGGTTGGATTTGGATTTAGTGCTCAAAAAGGGTCATGAGTTACAAACATTTAGACTCTGCATAAACGCAAAGTTTGACATGGGACCTCCTAACTCCCTAATATCTGTGTGAGCTGGAAAGTTTCACCACGTTTTGCACTGAATTCATAATTTCACAACTGAGTTTTGTGAGTCCTTTTATTTTTGTGTGGTATCAACAGGCTTTTGCAATCTAATGCCATCTCCTTGTTTAAAGAAATGGGATGGGGTGTGTGTGTGTGGGGGGGGGGGGGGGGGGGGCTACTATTACACATTAGACAGACACTAAATTTTCAATAAATTATTTTGGTTGTCAAGATTTAAAGTTGGGTTTAAGACGTTGTTTTAAAATCAAGAAAAAAAATTGTATTTCTAAAAAGGTGTCAGATGTTTTTTGATTTTGTTATATAATTTTAGATGTTTTCTGCCCATACAGGCATCTTTATCTGACAGAGTAATAATATGAAAGGATTACTTGAAGGAATACATGTCCCCTTCCACAATTTTAACCAAGATCATAGTCTGAGAAATGATAGAGTTTAAGCCAGTTTGGTCTGTAAAACTTTTGTTAAGCACAACATTATAATATGAGATATCACACTCAGATAATATACTGAGGATAAACACAATCGCAGCTACGACCACCTCAGATTTTAGCTCAATAACTGTACAATTGGCTGATTTATAGACATTTCTGTGTTGGCTGATATGGATGTGCTGGCCATCTTGATTAAGATTGACTCCATCTGTTATTCACTTGTAGACGTGCATCCGGTTCTGAAAGTTTCATTAAAACTTGTGCATCGGTTTATGAGTTATTTTACTAACAGAAAGTGTTGACTCCAGCAGTTAACGATGGAGTTTTCATCAAAGTTCTTGTGCAGATAACAATTGACGTATGTTGTGGGTGACACCAAATCTTAACACATCGGTACAGCAGGCTGGATTTAAGCTGTTTTTGTGTTATGTTAATGAAATATTTTGCTAACAGATAAGATTGACTCCAGTTAATGGCAACATGTTAAAGATTTTTGCACAATCTGTGAGCCCTCATAATAAGTGTTGGAGATTAGTCTCAGCTACTACTGCCTCAGATTTTAGGTGAAGCCATTTTGTGTGTGTTGTTGAAAGTTTACAAGCAGACAGCCCCACCAGATAAAAGCTTTTAAAATAAAAATGTTAAATGTATTTATCTGTTAATCAAAGTGAAGAAAACAAGTTGTGAAAAAAAGTCTCACTTGGGTTTTCATCGAGTGATACCCATCTCTTCTTGCCTCAGAGAAATGGGTCATCACTGATTTAAAACAAACTGTCATCCATCCTTCATCTCCACTCTGCGGCAGACGGAGCTCTCAGATTAAACGCACCAATTACTGCGCCCTCCACGCGCACGGCGTTAATAGGGTTTGAAAGGATTTACATGCTGTCCAGTCAAATGCTGCGTGCTTTGGGAATGACATCATTTTGATCACCTCACACACCGGCTGACCCCCACCGCCTTGTCAAAGAGTGAAGTCTCACGCTCCAACAAACCCCGTACCTGCGCGCGTCCGGATTTCACCGGACTGCGCGCGTCACGACGCATGCCTGCGCTGATAGGAGGACGTCTGCTGCCTCCCTCCCCATCCTTTCCTCTCCTTCTCCTCCTCGGCGGTGTTTACTACATGCGACGGGGTGGGTTTAAATCGGCGAGTGTGCGCAGATCGCGTCGTTAGGAGGTAATGGAAAAGGAGGAGGAGTAGGCGTTGGGAGAAGGAGAACAGGCGAAGTAAAGGAGCGCATCTGTGTTTACTGCTGGTTGGACGGTTCCGCCGAGGAACACCTAGCTGGGTGCAGAAGAGGAGGAGGGAGCGTGGATGCTGCGCAGAAGGAACGTTTTATTTAGTCGTTTTGTTTTTATATAAAATCCTAAACTAAAGAGGAAAAGGCTGAGCGCTCGCATCCTACAGAGATGGACACCCGCTGAGGTAGGAACCATTGATTGGCATAATTCAGTCGGAGAAACAAACGAGAGGGGCAGACAGAAAGGCTGGGCAGGAAATATGTATCCTTCTGATGTAAACTATCAGTTTGTGTTTGACTGGAGCGCTGATGCTGTCAGTGATGCTGTCAGTGATGCTTCAGAGAGGCGGAGGAGGAGGGAGAGGAGGGAAGGATGCGCCTCCGGGACGCGCTGGCCTGTAACCGAGCGCATCCTGCTCCTGCAGCTCCTGCAGCTGATACCTCCTCACAAACACACTCCGATAAATAAAGCAGGACTATTAGGAGACGGGATCATTCAGATGTGAATGATGGGTTACACCAGATGTGCCCCCTGGAGTTGATTTTCTTTCAGAGCAGAACATTTTAATAAGGATTTTTTTTCTTCTCTATCAGATTTCAGGACCTTGAAATATAATTTGGCTGATAATTTGTCTTGTTTATATATTTGTAAGGCTAATCTATAAATTAGGAATGAAACTACAGGGTATGGATCATTTTCAGACATCTTATACATTAAATGCTGGCACAGTCTTAAAATGAGCGTTTTGTAATCCATGCAGACTTTGTCATTTTACTCATTTTTGTCATTCATGAACTTCAAATATGAAAATAACAGAAGTCAAGCTCATAAAACCCCACTAAGAAAAGCATATGCTCCAAATTTAATATTCCCTAAAAAAACACATACTTTTTTTCTCATTATGGTTGTTATAGTAAACTATGAAAGATTTTAGTCGCTTTCGTTATTTAGCTGCACGATTAAAACCTGTCATGTCTTTGTCATGCTCATCAGTGAAAACGGCATGAAAGAAAAGGTTTTTATATCCAAGAAGTAATATAGTTTCCTTCCTTGCTAAGCATGCATGTGCTGTTGTCCTTGGAGACGTAAAGCTTTGAAGAAGCCGATGGATTTCTCTCATTATTTTTGCCTAGTCTGTTTTATATACCAGCAAATTATCGAGCACTTTTTAAGCTTGCTAAACAAGTGCCAAATCTAAAATATTTACTGCAATGTTGTGCTTGATTGTCAGGGAGAGGGAGAACAGTTTCATTTGTCATTAATCTCAGGTCTTCAGCGGTAGCTCTCTCAGATTTATGGTCCAGACATGAGGCTCTTTTGTCCCTAACACACACACCTTAAATCAGCTGGCACGTCTCATAAAGAACAGATTTTAGACACTTGTCTAAGTGCTATGGGTCACGTTTTGCTTATTTAACCAAGCTGTGAAATGTTTCATTGTTTCCTTGTTGTGAGAAATCCCATCAATGGTTAATGAGCTGAAATGTCTTGGTTGTGATATTCTGCATCTTTGTTGGTTGGCTATGTAGAAAGTGTGAACTTCAGAAGAAGCTTTAAGTTCTGTAACATTTATCCCAATTTAAGAGAAATTTCATGTGTCTGCCTTCATTCACAAACAGCTCAAATGTAACTGTGTCATACTCAGGTCCTTTAGAAGTAACTCATAAGTTTCTGATAACTTAGTAACAATCTGGAACTTCCAACTTACCGTTGCAGTGATTTGAGTTTTCACGTCTTTTATAATAGTTTGTATCTCTTTCTGCTTTGGCTTCTTTAAGACTCCCACTGCTTCAATCGTTTCACCTCCTGAAGCTCCTCATGGCGCTCGTTCACGAACCTCGAGCTCCCTCACCCTCCCTCTCCGGCTTCAACACGCCTCTCTCCGACCCCCCGTCTTTTCGCCGCCTCGATGCCGAAACCCCCTGCACACCTGAAATGGACCTGACGCCGACCCAGTGTGTCCTCAGAAACGTCCTCTCCATAGACACCGGGGATGCTGGAGAGCCCGGGGGAGGAGGAGGAGGGGGAGGAGGAGAGGGGAGACCCACCGGACACAACCAGACACCCAGCGAGGAACAACAGGAGCACTTTGCCAACAGCGTGCTGAAACTCCACGAGCACGATGGGGGTGGTGGAAGGACAGAGGGAGAAGGGCTGGAGCCAGACAGCTCCATGGTCAGGAGCCAGGCGGACGACGCCAGGTTACAGTGTCAGTCCTCAGGGGGGGGCGGAGGGTTTCTGGAGGGGTTGTTTGGGTGCTTGCGGCCTGTCTGGACTATGATCGGCAAGGCTTACTCCACAGAGCACAAACACAACCTGGACGGTAAGTCTAAGTGACATTTATTTCTATATAAAGTGGACAAACGTCCCTACACAGTAAAATCAATGGTGGCTTTTAATTGACCAATAAAAACAACCACTCCCCTTCAGCTTAATTTTGGTTTGAAGCTTTGATATGCTAATTAAATGATTTTATCTCCACTTTAATTACATTAATCAGTAGGCAGAAAAGTGACTTTCATTATGGCAACATTGTAAACAATCACCCTGAAATAATAAATAAATGCAAAACAGAAAAAAAGACTCCATTGAAGCTGCCAAGGAGTTATTCCTCCTAGATACCCCACATCCATTTGCCATGCTCGTGCCCACCTCCCACCCCACCCCCAGTGAGGCTCTAGCTCCCCGTGATGGTGTTGTTTATGTCTGCAGCCACTACAAAAGCACAGGGCTCCCCTGAGACTCCTCTGCCAAATCTGCTTCATGAATAATGCATGACCATATTCTGACCCTGCACCTCTCATCTCTATTAACACAAGCCTGACACGCACTCAGACGGGAGCACACGTGCGCCAAATGATATGTGCACGCACACACGCATGCAGCTGCAAATAGAAACGTCTAATAACCAGCGCCGGCATTAGCATGCAAAGTCTGATGAAATGCCAAAGCTGGACAAAAATATGGCACCTATATCAAACACAGAGGTGGCAGCTTTCCACCTCTTCATGTCTCCCCTCCTCCTTCCACCTCTTATTGTCTCTCCTTTCATCGTGTTTTGTTATCACTTCCAGTCCATCTGCACCTCACTGCCCTCCTCCTCACCGCACAATCACGAGGAGCCACACACACTTATGACTCCACAGCGGATATTATAAAAATGAAGTAAATACTGGAAGGGCTTTCTGCATCTCCTTTTTCAACCTGAGGGGAATTATATGTCACAGCAAGACCTGGAATTTGGTTCTGACATATGAAGAGGTGTTGTAATTTGCTCAAGTTTTATAAATTAAAAGAAAAAAAATTGAATTGTGGAGAGTACTTATTGTCAGATGAGGTCTAATGTCTTTAATATTTGGGGGGCTCATTAGAGGCGGAGTCCACAATCATTCACTAGAACATTAATGATTAATATCATCCTCATTAACGTGATAAATGTGTCTGAATGCAGCCTACTCTGCTGCTGTTCTCCCTGGGTCAGCATCAGCAGCAGAGCAGGCTCTATATTTGTGTGTATATTAACAGCCTATCTTCAGTCATATAGACCCTTGTTGACCCGTGGGGAATCCCCATTACTGTTTCTATTCTTTAGACACACACACCACCATTACTGCGCCTCCACCACTCTGTTCACCCTACATTAGCTTCTTAAATCCCTCTCTCTCCTCCAAACCCCTCCTGAGTGTTGGACCCCTGTTTTGCGTCAGCCCCACAATGGCACTAAGCAGGATTTAGGAGGCTGAGAAAGAATTACCCACAAGAGATTAGAGCTTCCCTGTCTGTCTGATCGCAGCCTCGGGTCTCAGGTTAGGAAGTTCATCTACAGAACAAGATATCAGCTCAGGTTGTGGACCACTGAGGCTTCAAGCTATTAAAAAAATACACCTCCACAGGATTATTCCATTATTAGAATTTAGTTTTCATTCACAATTTTGGTCTCCACTGACTATAATTCAATGTCTTGTTCCTCATCTTAAACAAAACATCCATCCATCATCTTTAACCGCTTCTTTCTTTTTGGGTTGCGGGGTCACTGGTGCCCATTTCAAGCAGTCACTGTGCGAGAGGTGAGGGACACCCTGGACAGGTCACAAGTCCATCACAGGGATGCATATATGCATCCCTGTGATGGACTTGTCTGGTTTGTCTAGAGACAAACGAGACAAAAAATTATTTATGATCGCACAAGTTTTTACATGAATTATTATTTTTAAAACCAGTTATTATCGTTTGAAGTAAAATGCCTAGCATTTCTTTTCTTTTTTATCACCCGCCACCTTTCATGCCACAGTTCTTTTGATCAAACCTTGGAAATGAAAATGTGCACAATCTCATGAGCCATTGTGAAAACTTATGATGTATTAGTGATTATCAAATGTGCTCTGGATGACTCTTTAGCTCATATGTGTCAAACTCAAGGCCCGGGGGCCAAATGTGTCCCTCGTTGACATCTTATCTCGTCCTCAGTATGATAGGTGAAATGTAAAATACTTCTTTTGCTTGAATGTTTTCAGTAATCTTTGATTATGATGTCGAAAGCACAACAGATAACATCAAATGAGACCAATCCATCTCTTGTTGAGGAACCTGCGACCAAGAAAAGATGTTGGGTATCTGATTGAGTTAATAGTTTCTGAAATTGGCCCTTAGTTTGAAAAAATGTTTTAATTTTGCCCCCCTTTTGTAAGTGACTTTGACACCCCTGCTTTAGCGCATTAATCATACATTGACTGAGCTGTAGCCCTTTTGGTGTTTGACAAGTTAGTTCAGCTGTGGCAGCCATCTTGAATGAGGCTGACTCAAAATGTTAATCAGTTGAAATGTCCATCTAATGAATAGTTTCTGCAAGTTTGATTAAAATCTGTCATCTGGTTCATGGAATAGTTTGCATCGCTACAGACGAATGCACATACACAGACACTGGCAAAAACATTGCTTTTCTTCTTTGGTGGCAGGCAATAATAATTCTGATGTTAAAAATAACCATAAGACGATTTTAGCATTTGTTAGCATTGACACTAGACCTTTAGTTTCATGATGTAACGTTTTATATGTCAAGATGTTTCTTTGCCATGTTAGCAACTCAGGAACTTTATTGTGGAAAGTTTAAGCTAAATTAGCTAGCATAATGCTAATTTGCGAACATGTTGAAAGTATCAGTCAGCTTCTTTTTTTACATGGTGACTCCCATCAATCTGCACAGCACGTAAGAAAAGCAAAGCTGATTGAAATATAATTGTCAAATTTTGCCATGACAAGAAAACATCTGGAATTTTTCACCAAGGGGCCATCAGAAATCCATGACAGCTGCCATTTGTTCAGATGTTTCTGCAATACAAATGTCTACTTTTTGACGTTACTAAAGGAGATGTCAGGGAATCAAAGTAATTAGTTGGAATTCACCGGAGATCCAAAAATGTCCTTCCAAATTTGATAACTTATTCAGTGAAAGGGGTTTCATGGTCTTGACCATCGAATTGACAAAAATAAATGACTAAATGTGAAATTAAAGAAACAAACATGTTGGTCTATTTTACCCTAAAAGTTGAGCTTACTTTATGACATCACCTCAAATACTGAGCCAAGATTTAGTTTTGTGGTTTCATTATTTGAATGGAATTGATTTGTAGTCAGTCTCTCTTCTGAACTTGTGAACTCACCTATTTTTCTCTCTCTCTCTGTGTCCAGAGGGCTGGGAGGTCCCATTCGAGGAGATATCGGACCTGCAGTGGGTGGGCAGTGGAGCCCAGGGCGCCGTCTTCCTGGGCAGACTGCACGGACAGGAAGTGGCCGTGAAGAAAGTACGAAACATCAAAGAGACTGACATCAAGCACCTCCGGAAGCTCAAACACCCCAACATCATCACTTTCAAGTGAGAGGACATGCCTTCCTTTAGAGAACATTAGAAGTCAGAGAACATGATTGAAATTTAAAATATGTGTCTTAAAAAAGCAGCATGTTGTTAAAACTAGTTCAGTTTCGCCTCAGACTATATGAAGTCTCACGCGGTCTCTTTAACATTTCAGCATTTGTGTTTTACTCTCAGAGGGATCTGCACCCAGGCTCCTTGTTACTGCATCATCATGGAGTACTGCGCTCAGGGACAGCTGTACGAGGTGCTGCGAGCGGGCAGAAAGATCACTCCGTCCCTGCTCATGGACTGGGCCATGGGCATTGCTGGGGGCATGAACTACCTTCACCTCCACAAAATCATCCACAGAGACCTCAAATCACCAAAGTGAGTCTTTTCAGAACTGGTGGAGTTTTTACTGAATGTAAACTGGAAAATGGGATGGGATACTTGCGGTTCATAAGATATTTTACTAACAGACACGCCGAGTTGATTCCAATAGTTAATGACAAAGTTTCAAACACAGATCTTCCCCAAATGGTTAGTTGTCAGAGTATGTGTGTGAATCAGTCTCAGTTACTACCACACCTAATTGGGGACTGCAGCCCCCAATTATTATCCACCTCAAAAGGGTCTTGCGCTTCTATCAACTTTAATGTGGCCCAAACCGCAATGTGCACTCCTACAAATGTTATAGCAAAACAACCGGCTCGGCACTGTGATGTGTGCTATTACTTTATAGTAAAGGTGTCTAAGTTGAACTTTTCTTTAATAAATGCACTTTAATGGTCAACTCAGCTGCATTTTGCCTGGGCGGTGCGACGAAATGCAACTGATTTGACGTTTGCTCCAGGAGTTCCGGAGCGAGACGAAGGTGGCTTGGTATGGCAAGTCAAGTGTCTCATCAACAGTGGTAGTGTTCAATATTTTCCATGTCAAAATTAATGAAATTGTCAAATCTCAGCCAAAAATTGGGTGAGGAGGAAAAAACATAAATACACTGCTTCACTGTATAAGTTGCAGACATGCTAATTAATGCAAAAGCTGCAACTTATACAGCACAAATTACAATACTGAATTCAAATAAAAAAAAATCCAAGATGGCCACCAAAGCTAATTTTAAATGGCTTTAACATAGCTAGTTTTACACTTACAGAGCTGAAATTTGGTGCAGTTATAGCTGAGAATGTTCCCCAGCACTTACTGAGTCCAAATCAAAAATCCAAGATGGCCTCTATAGATTAAAATAAATAAATTTCTACAAAGTATAACATTGATTATTTTTTTTTGCCATACTGAGATGAAATTTGGTGTGGTGGTAGCTGAGAGCGAATCAAAACACATAGTACTGTCAAATCAAAATTTTAAAATAGCCACAATGTGGCAGTCCCCGTCAAAGTTTCTCCAGGAACTTTCTAGTTTTACCTTAATGTCTCTAACATTTGAAGAGCTGTTTGTGCTGATTGTAACTATGACACCGCTGCTCAGGTTAGACATTTTATGGAGCCGTAATGTGTTATTTGATTAAGTAATTTCATAAAATGTCTGATCACAGCTGATGTGATGTTGTTTGAACTTTTGTGAGCTCAAACAAGTTAAGCACAACAAAATTTAACATTTCATTCCAGCATGCTTATCACCTATGACGATGCAGTGAAGATATCTGATTTTGGTACGTCCAAGGAGCTCAACGACAAAAGCACCAAGATGTCTTTTGCTGGGACTGTAGCCTGGATGGCTCCCGAGGTCATCCGCAATGAACCCGTGTCAGAGAAGGTGGATATTTGGTAGGTGTTGCAACCTTTCGAAAATGTCCTTTTATAATTTTTTTTTAATTTTCCTTCATGATATGCCTTATCAACCAACTAATTCAACATAAAATCGTATTAGCTGTAGTCTACTACGGTGCAGCATGATAGATCCTATTTCCAGCCAATCTATTCGGTATGATGTATAATATCTCATTACATGAAACTCTATAGGGTCTCTGTCGTATCTGATGGGTTGCCCAATGTTAAGCCTTGATTTCGCTCCAAACCTCCATCCCCCCTTTAGTACATTCTCTGCCTCCCTCTTTCTCCTTTTACTACATCCCTCCATCAGTCTTCCCCTCCATCCTGAAAGAAATGCCGGCTAATTTAATAATTGATCTGCCAGATGCTGCAGTGCTCAGGAGAGGCTGGAATAACCTTCCGAGCCTTCGGACGGGTTGGCGCTCAGCCAGTACTGCATTAGCCGAGGAGTGAAAATGGGATTAAAAAGCTTTTGATGTAGAAAGAAAGCAAAGCCTGGGTGTGTAGAGTACATTTTTGTTTAAATCTTTGTAAATCGCTTGGTAGGAGCACAAAAAGGGAGTTGGAAATGAACAGACTGTGGTTAAGCACTGTCATATGTTGTACACATAAACACGTTTGTTTTGCTATAGAGCAACAGCTGCTACAAATCCTTTTGGATTTTGAATATAAAATAATTAAAATTATTGTAAAATCCCTTAAAACACAACAAATGTACCCTAAACGTGACACTACATTTTTAATAGAATAAAATAAAAATATTTTGTTTTCATTATTTTGACCTTCATGCTTAATATTCCAACTCCGAGCAACAAACACACACAAAACACGTTATTTCAAACTAAATATATAATTGAGAGGATTTTGACATGGCAGCATAAAAAGTTGACTTTTTAAAGTCAGTTTTAAAGGACAGACTGTAGTTTTATAATAACTCATAATAATATTTGGTTAACTATTTAAAGGTCTGTATTTCAGATGATTTGAACAAAAACATATTTAAAAAAAATTGCATTTTGAATCATCAATCAAAGTCTAGATATTGTTCTCGGATTACCTGAATATGACTAAAGTTGTCACCAAGCCTGTATTAATTCAAGATGTTGCTGCTGGCTGATAATATCCTGATTTATATTTTTTTTTGTTCTGTTTATAAACAGAAAACAGTAATTTTCATTATGAAATCAAAACCCTGTGTTATGTATGTAATAAGTGGGTAAACGGTTATTTTCATAATAATGGCGGCTGTGGCTGAGTGGTTAGAGCAGTTGTCCTCCATTGCAAGAGTTGGGGGTTCTAATCCACCAGCAGTCACATGTCAAAGTGTCCCTGGGCAAGACACTGAACTCCTCATTGCCTCTGTCGTGTGTCACATCAGTGTATGAATGTGATAAAGCTCTGATTAGTCTCTTTAGAACAATTTGTTCAATTAGCTTTGTATAGGTCTAGTAGAGTGCTGTATGAATGGGTGAATGAGGGCACAGATCGTGTTCTAAAGCACTTTGAGTATCTCGATAAGATAGAAAGGTGCTATATAAGTACAGTCCATTTACCATTTATAAAGCCTTAACTTTCTCTTTAGTGTGTTATTCTAATGGGTTTATTGTATTTATTCATATTGTTTAAAAAAAACAATGGGGGAGTGGTGGCGTAGAGGTTAGAGAAGGTGGGCCTGTGTTTGGAAGATCGCCGGTTCAAGCCCCGGTACCGACAACATCAAAAATATGGGTGGGGTAGGTGAAGCACCCACACCTGCCCCCACCCTCACTCGTCCCACCCTGGGCCCTTGAGCAAGATCCTTAACCCCCACCATCTGCTCCTCCAGTTGTCCTAGACAGCAGCTCTCTGCTCCACACAGAGGGCTGTGGTAGCCTGGTGGTCTGTGGTTGCGTCAGGAAGTGCATCCGGCGTAAAAATAACTGCAAGTCTTCGTGTGACTTAGTTCGCTGTGGTGACCCCTAAAAAGAAGGGAGCAGCCAAAAGAAGAAGTTTTTAAAAAATTCAGCATGTTTCAGGAAAAACAAACTGGCTTTATTGTGTAATGATAATTCCATACAGCTGTGTTTTGTATAGGATGATCATAAAAAAATATATTACTCGACATAAGTAAAATATTTCAATTGTTCCATTCAGTTTGAGCTTTTCACATTAAAATCAACAAACTCGAGAAGTTTTCTCTTCTTGTGCATCAGTATCCGGATTTAGAGTTATCCTGAACACCCCCCCCCCCCCCCCCCCCCAAAAAAACAAAAAAAAAAACAGACACATGCTAATCTAGTATCACCCTCCCTCAAGCATCTTAGTGATGCGACTGGAACCTTGGATACTGTAGATGGTCGCCACGGTAACCCTAGGCGTCACCAGCAACAGGCTTTCCGTGTTACGTTTCCCATCAGGATGGTGTCGTGCTGTTACACCAAAACAGAAAAGAAAGCCATGAAGAAAGAAGATAGATAGATAGATAGATAGATAGATAGATAGATAGATAGATAGATAGATAGATAGATAGATAGATAGATAGATAGATAGATAGATAGATAGATAGATATTTTTGTAAATTCTGCTATTTACCTGACATTTCACTACAATTAATGATACATGCAGCCTATTCTTATAATTAAATGGTCATCAGCAACATTCAAATGAAAAGCAACTGCTTACAGAGAGCATTTTAAAATGAAATCAACTATAAAAATATAACATGACAAGCTGCTTTTTGTTTGTATTTCCTTTACGAAGCACATTGTGTTTGAAAGAAAATGTGCCCCATTTTCCTGAAGGTCATTTGGCGTTGTGCTGTGGGAGATGCTGACGGGGGAGGTGCCCTACAAGGACGTGGACTCCTCCGCTATCATCTGGGGAGTGGGAAACAACAGTCTACAGCTGCCGGTACCTGACAGCTGTCCAGACAGCTTCAAACTGCTCCTGAAGCAGTGCTGGTGAGGAGGAGGAGGAATTTATTAAAGGAAATAAGTCAAATATATTTCTTACATATCATGACAAACTGGTTGTTTTAAGCAGGTGGAGAAAGTAAATTATCATCCAGTGAAGAGCTTAAAAGATATGAAGCAACATAAAAACGTATGTTCAAACAGGTGAAGGCTAATAAAACATTTTGAATTGTTTACAGGAACTGCAAACCAAGAAACAGACCTTCATTTCGACAAATACTTCTACATCTTGACATCGCCTCCGCAGATATTTTGTCTACACCACAAGAAACCTACTTTCAGTCACAGGTGAGCATTTTTTTTTTAAATACAAAATGAGTGTTTGTAGGCAAAACCCCACTCATAACAATTTTAGGCTTGTCATACAATGCACACTTTGGTTGATTTAATTTGCTATGTCTTCATATTATTCATCTGAACTTATTTAGACAGTAATGGATGGGAAGCAAAAATTAGGTCACACAGCTCATTTGTTAATTTTATATGGTGTGACTGCAGGAAAATCCTTAATTAAGTCGTCCTTGTCAGCAGATAAATGAATGGGTTTTGTATAAAGTGCACATGAGCTCTGTATATCTCGTCTATCAACGACTGCCAGCATCACGCTTTCTTATTTTGTTGTCAAGCTGCTGGAGTTTTTTTTCCAGTCGGATGCAGAGCTGAGTGCACAGCTGCACAGGCGCCCCAGGTCTCCTGGGAGCTCACTAATAATACCTGTCCTTTCAATCACACCCCATTGTTGTTGGTTGCTTTTTTTCCCTTGTCACACATGAGCGCTGATTTGTGCTTTATATATATTTATATATAAGCTACAGTCTGCAGGGTCAAAGGAAAAGCCTTTTTTCACCCCAATCATCACCACAGCCTGCCTGACTGTGGTGATGGAAGCACATTATAGATTTGTTAGAACGCTGCAAACCCAAAGACATGAAGCAGAGGAGGGTTAGAAAAGTGTAATTGTGTGGGAAAGATGTCTTTGCTCAGCCATGCAAGAATGACAATCCATTTATAACTCAAGCACGAGTAATTATCAGTCACGTGTTCGTTCAAACGCACAAATTTCAGTTTTTATTTTTTCCATCTGGTTAATGCAGAACATAAACCTCTTGCACTTTCTCCACTTCACCTCAACCCCCCCACCCCCACTTCCCTGTTGTATCCCTGCCCGCTTTCTGCCCCATAATGGATTGTTCTTGTGACATTAGAAAGAAGAATTTGCTGCTAGAGTGTATTGATTGCTTTAATGGTAGCGAGTAGAGCAAAGGGAGAGGAAAGAGAGGGGACTGGAGACATAGAAGAGTGCACAAGGAGTCCATTAGGTTAATAAGAAGAGCATCTCCCATACACAAACACACACACACACACACACAGGTCAAATACAAATGCATGTGCATGCACGTGCTCATAAATCTGGCTTCTTTTGTCCTTTGATATGACAGGTTTCAAATAACAGCTGTCAGGCTCTGCTGCGCACAGAAAATGCCCTTACTGCATTTTTTCTTTCTTTCTTTTTGCATTAATGTCATGTCAGTTCATGTTCAGCTTTGCTCCTGGTGTATTTATTATCATCTTACAGCTTAATAGGTTTTGTTGCGGTGACAAAACCTAATTGCTTCGGCAAATGAAGAGTTTTATCCTCTAAATCAGGGTGCAGTGAAGCTGTCTCAAAACGTTTATCATTTGATGATAATGCTCTGAATTTGAGTCATATTAAAAAATCTAACTGAAAACATAATAAGAGGCACCAATATGATAAAAAATGAGAAACAAACATTTTTAAATAAGGTTTTCATTCAACCTTTATTTATACAGGTTAGTCTCATTGAGTCACGAGGACTCATTTTCAAAACAGACCTGTTTTAGACGAATAACATATAAAGTGCAGACAACAATAATTCAACAAAAATCAATTAAAGTCAAATAAAAAAAAGTTGTAAGCACAGTCATACCGAGAGGCCATACAAAACAAGGCAAAATACTAAAATCAAGAACAAATTTGCTTTGATATTTCTATTGACATTGTTAAATGTTTAAAATCCCTCAAAAAGGTCAAAATCGACAGCTTCAGATTTTTTTGCAAGCTTTTCCAGGTTACAGGAGCAGAGTAAGAAAATACCCTTTTTGCCAAGTTCAGTTCACACTGAGGGAACGCTGCAGGTGATGGTGGCCTGAGAGTGCACGCCGTAACTGCACTGACGATGTGACACGTGGGAGGAGATATATGAAGGCAGCAGACCAAGAAGTGATTTATAGATGAAAATGAATCAGTGTGAGCATCTGTGTTAAGTTAATGATGACCAACTGACCAAGGAGTACAGAGTGCAGTGATGGGTACGGTAGTTACAACCAGTTATGAATCTTAGCGCACCATGGTAGACAGCATCCAACATTGCAAGGAGGTGGCAGGGGCATTCATGTAAATAATGTCACCATAGTCAATGGCCAGTAGGAAGGTAGCGGTTACAAGGTGTTTTCTGGCTTTCAGAGTTAAGTAAGTTCTATTTCTGAAAAAGAAACCCAGTTTTTATTTCAGTTTTTAGTCAAGTTTTTGATAGGTGAGTTAAAAGAGAGATGTGCATCAATTAAAATTCCCAAGTATTTGTAAGAATCCACAAACTCAATAGGAACACCATGCATGGATGAGACAGAGGAAGAGTTGCTGGCATCAGCTTTCTGCTTGAAAACCACATCCCTTTGGTTTTATCAGCATTTAGCACCAGTTTGAGATGGAACAAGTTTGACTGAATGATGTTGAATGCAGACTGTAGAAGCTGGAAAACCTTGGCAACTGTGTTAGCTTGGCAATAAATAGTTGTATCATCAGCATAGAGATGCAAGGAGGCGACAGGAACATTTTGACCTACATTATAAATATAAATTGTAAAAAGAGTGGGTCCTACAACTAAGCCTTGTGGAACACCACTAGTGACCATTAAAAAGCAAGACAAAATATCATTATGTTGAACACATGGCCTTCGACCTTAGGGATAGTTTGAGAACAAACCAACAGTGTGATCTGAGAAACCAACATCTGAGAGCTTGTGGTATAAGTTATCACGATCTATAGTATCAAAGGCTTTGGACAGGTCTAAGTAAAGTGCAGCACAGTAACCTTTAGCATCCAGAGCTTCAACAACATCATTAAAAACCTTTAGCGAAGCAGTCATTGTGCTGTGTTGTTTCCTGAAGCCAGATTGGAGAGAAGATAAATTATGAAGTAATTACCAGTTTGGTTTCCTGCTTTGGCTTCACACGTAGCTGTGATCTTTGATCACCACCAATACAGTTTTTTTTTAATTATTTACTTGGTATAGTCTATTTCAAACCTACACTTCTGCATTTTTGAACAGACTAATAAAAGGTAAATGTCTGTTTTAATAGTGACACATACAATATTCATTGTCGTTAGTGTGTTTTTATTATTATTATTATTTTTCTCAGAGTTGCCACATTAATAAACATCAGTTCTAGAGCTTGTTATACAAGTTCTAACTATGATGTTGGTAAAAGCCCTAGATTATGGGGAATCAGATTATAAGAAGCAAAAAGGCTTATATATATATATATATATATATACATAGTAATACTGTATAGTTTCCAATTGCTCTGTCTGGTGGCATTATTTTAGTCTGATGGTTTGGTTCTGTGTCCCATCAGGCGGAGTGGAGGGACGAGGTGAGACACCACTTTGAGAAGATCAAGTCTGAGGGGACATGTCTTCACCGGCTGGACGAAGAGCTGATCAAACGGCGTAGAGAAGAACTCAGGTGAGATCAAATGGACCAAAGGATGTGGCAGGAGAAAACCAAAGATTGACTGGAACATTTGCAACACCACAGAGTATTTATACCTCCTCCTGGTACATATAAATTAGTGTTTACTATTGTACTTTCTTATTTTGTTCATATTGCACTGTATTGTTTTGTCACATGAAAATGTTGTTTTAGCAAAGACAAGCACACCACATCTACATTATTCAAGCTTTTTGCCAGCAGAATATTCAGCATTTTTTAGATGTTCTTTATAAATCATAATTTACACGTACTTCAGTTTGTTTCATCATTTCTTGCATGATTTTAAATGTAGACTATTCTTCTGTCTGCATATTTATGACCCACTTTTCTCTGCATGAAGGCACGCTCTGGACATCAGGGAGCACTACGAGAGGAAACTGGAGAGAGCCAACAATCTTTACATGGAGCTCAACGCTATCATGCTGCAACTGGAGATTAAAGAGAAGGAGCTGTTCAAGTATGAAACCGCTCACTATTTAAACCAATGGCAAAAGTTAACATTGAGGAAATCCTCATGAAGGGCACTTTAGTCAAAACCACCCTCCCCCTTTACATTATTGAAACTGTGCATTGGTAATGGAAAATGAAAAATATCTTAAATGTAAAGGGTAATAGTTTATTTTTAAATGTCAGGAGGGAGCAGTCGCTTGACAAGAAGTACCCAGGCTGCTTCAAGCACCCCAGTTCTAGACAGTCGGCCTCCTCCAACTCGATGGAGAAACTCCTGAAGAAACGCAACATCCCTCAGAAGCTGTCCTCACACAGCAAGAGGTGAGAGAAAGTTACTCAAGGTTACAGCTGTGTACCGCCATCACAGGCTAATGTCTGAGCTTTTCTTTGTGTGTGTGACTGTTAGCAAAATATCTGCTGAACCACTTAATAGGATTTGATGAAACTTTCAGGAAGTAATCATTAGCTGTACCTCTACAACTGATTAACTTATGAAATCAACCCAGTTCAGGATGACTTTTGAGGGTAATGGCCATGACTCAGTTAGTTTTACAGAAATTTAGCTAAAATTTGGTGGAGTAGCCGAGAGTCATTCCCAACAAATACTCTGAGTGCTAACAAATCTCACATCTTTGTTTAAAACTGCTCTGCAAGTGGTAGACAATATGCATTCTTAAAAAAAAAATCAACCTATATATATATATATATACATATATGTATATATATATATATATAG